TCCAGCGTGGCTTTTCGAACGCGTATCGTGTCGGATGTTGTTGTTGACTTGGGATCGAATAAGCGTCCCGATCGTATGTATTCGGGGTTTTGTTATATCGAGGGGCTGTGGTCCGCAGTTGGCGCAGCTTGGTTAGACGAGGCAGGTGTAGTTGCGAGATCCAGACTTGGAGTCTTGTCCAGATTCGGAAAAGACGATCACTCCATAACGACGATCATTATTTCCCAACATCATCATCTCGATCAAAATATGCCGACTAATCGAGCTCCGCCGCCCGAGCTTCGTCGTCACGAAGGCCTAGTTGTTATGGATTCGGACTGTGCTTGTTCTTGTTGTTGTTGATAATAGTAGATTGTTATTAGTATTGTGATGATATGGACCAACACAAGGATAATGACAACAACACATCATTATCATACTCATCATCATCTTGTCATAATATCAAGAAACAGTTAATGGAGGAAGAAGGTCGTAATCGTCGTATGCTTGTTGATGATGATGATGATGAAGATTATTCAACATCGTACTATAAGAACAGCAACAATAGAGTATTGGTATTAATATGTGTCATTATTATCAGACAATCATCATCATTATCATCTACTGGTATGTTATACAATCCTAACAAAGGATTTGTTAGGGTAAACAACAACAAGAACAACAAGAAGAAGAAGAAGAAGAAGAAGAAGAATCATGACCATCATGAGACTGCTACTGCTGATTATATATCAGAATTGGAAGATGAGGTGATAAGATAGCCACCTATGAGAGTGTTGGAGTTAATAGTCGCCCACCCGGGACTAATAGTCAGTAACTCATTCACCTGCTCTCTGTCTCAGGCTCTCACACCTCTGGCCGGCCTTGCTAGGTGCATCCTTGCTAGCATAACGAGCATGAGGTCAAGGAGTAACTTAAAGTCCTTGACTGCCAGTCAATGACTGGACTTATCCGGGGGGGGTCTCTCGGTGCTTCTCTATTATGCGGGAGGGGGTTGTTGATTCGGTTCGTACCTCCACACCCTTCTCAGTCCCCTCAGCTTTCTGCGGTGTCATCAAGGATTCCTGAGTTCGACCAGTGAAGTCTACCTTCACGACCAGGCCCCCTCCGGAAGAAAGGCTTCTACCAACGCCTCGCCTTGTAGTCGCTCATTAACCAGCCTGGTGCTTCGGGCTAGCCTGAATCGCCTCTTGGTTGATGTAGTGGCGAGGACCGTAGTTAACCACAAGGTAATCCAGGACCGGTCACCATGGACAAGGCCGTCATTGAAGATTGCCGAGAAGATATTGCGAGCATAGACTACTGGGTCCTCCCCCTCGTCGTCCTCGAAAGGAGGGTACATTGTAACTATGGCCCTCGCTCAAAGTGAGATGAAGTTTCGGGCCTCAGCATGCGGAATTTCGTCACGTTCGACGAATTTGCTCAGGATATGGTCTAGCCTATCATTGTCAAGGGGGTCGTACACGAAGTCGTACGAGGAGTAGCAGGAACCGAGAGCAGGAGAGTTCACCACTTCCCTATCTCTGGGGTGTCACTTGGCTAAAGGTCGAGTCTTTCCAGTGCTAAACTCAGAGTGTTGTTGTCTACCGAGTAACCCATAGGGAAGGATAGTGATACTGACTATAATAGAGCTACTACCAACATCATT